CAATGTCGAGAGAGGGTCTTCGAGAGAGGTCATCAAAAGAGGCCTTCAAGTGAGAAATTTGCGAGTGATTTTGGGGAGAGAAAAGTGGAGGCGGATAGAATTAAGGTTACGCAATGAGCGGATGTGAAATAGAATAGGATAGCATGGTTTTTGTTTAGTGGATGTGGGTCAAGTATGGAAAAAGGAGGGTTTTTGCCTCCAAACCCGAACCGGTTGACTTAGAATGTAAATTGTAGAAAATTGGGTGATTTTTAATCCACGAGAAATCGGCCGCCTTATCAGATTTACACCAATATATCAGGACAAATCGGCCAAAAACAATATGCGATAACTTTTTTGCAAAAATCATATCGACCATGTCCCAAACCCTATACATCAGTGATAAATCGATAAAATCGACCTATTTTTTAAACATTGGATAGAACCTTAGTAAATGTTGTAAAGAAAAACATTTAGAGAGACTTAGAAGAGGACGAGGGTATATTTTCCTCAATTAAGGAAAGATGCTCTAAGGAAGAAAGAGCTTTTTTCTTAGATAAATAGAGAGCTCCAAAAATATGTATTTTCCACTACTTCAACCTTCTTGTAAGGATTTTGAGTTTAATGGAGAAAGATTCTACAAGATTTCCCTCACAGGAAAAGGAGGACTTGAGCTGAAGGATTTAAAGGTAGGGTGGGATAGCCAAACTTTTTCAAACCTGAACAAGGGTTTAGGGAATGAACTCGAAGAATCTAGAATGGTTGATGTGTGATCGGGCTAGCTAGAGGGGAAGGCATATTGAATAAGAGTAGAAAGATGTGATTCAAATCAAAATACACTAAAAAAAAACATACATATTAAACATCATATATATGATAAGGTAAATAATTAGTTAAAACAGTAGTTTTTCATGCATATTAAACTTTCATAAGCGTAAGATGAAAATTATCAAGCAAAATGCACTAGCAAAAGATCTGACATATATATGAATGAAATTGATATGGATTTACAATTCAGAAATTTAACTAGAAATCTAAGAACTAGCCAAACAGGTGAAGCCTAGATTGATGATGGCAATTGTACTAGAGGGGATAATGAGTAACATCTTGTACCTACTTTTCTCTCCCAAATTTAGGTGTATAGTTCATTTGGGTGGGGAAGAGCCGAGACAATAGACTGACTTTCAATGATAGAGATTTTTGGTTTGCTGTTAGTTCTCATTTAATTAAAATGAGGATCCCTTGAAGGGTTGAGATTTTATTAAGGCTGGATGATAAATTTTCGGTAATAGGCACAATAAACTTTCAGGAGGGTTCTCATTTAATTGAGATGAGGACCTCTTGGATGGTTGAGATTTTATTAAGTCTGGATGATAATTTTAGGTAATAGGCACAATAAAATTTCAAGAGGGGCACACGCATTTATGGTGAGTGCTAAATTTAGATCATATCATAGCCACACACTAGATAATTAACGGTAGCGGTCTCTCCTACTTTTTTATAGTGAAGAGGATCCAAGTTAGTTCCTTGCAGCGGAACATCTTTGCGTAAGTTTAGGCATAGTTATTATCTTTGTATCAATGTGTCAAATAATATTCTAGTAATTTTCTCATAAATAAGATAGCATTAATAGCCCTGATAAATAACCTTATCATCTATTTTTATAGATGTCGGGTATAAATGTAACTTCCTGATGGTAAACACCGTCCGAAAAATTTCACAGATTAAAACGTTTGATACTTTCTCAAAATATAGATCTTACATAAACTTAGCTGCGCATGATGAGTTGTTGTATCTATTGGAAACATGACATACAACGCAGCGGAAAAAGCATATCATGACTATTAATCAAAATTAATTAAATATTAGAAGAATACCTGAAACGCTTTCCGAATTTCTACAATAATCTGTCCCGAGATCAATCCGAAATAGCTTCCTCAAGAGAAAAAGCCTCCAATTGAAATCCACCCGTCACCGTAGAGGAGCAATACTAAGAGATAGGTTCTCAAAAATCTATTTCTTCATATTATCTTCATAAGATTTTTCAATCTCTTCTATCTCTTCTCATAAGGCTACATATGAACCCTATTTATAGGATTATACTAGTCTTAGAGATTTTAACTTTAAACAATTCATAGTTATCTAGAACTCTATCCATAACAATTAAGGATATAATAGATTTGTTCAAAAACTTTATCCATAACAATTAAGGATAGAAATAGAATTGCATTGCATGTATACCTCTTCTAATGACATTAGTGAGACCAATTGGGTCCCATATCGAGAACCAATTATTAATCAAATTAATAATTTTAATTTAACAATCAAATTCCTATCCGACCAACTGTTCAAAAAAGCTCTTCCATAATATGGGATTAAATAATATCTTACATTCACTCCCTTCCAGTATCATTTATTTTAGGCAACTTTTTTAAGCAGGACAACTCATCTATTTGCTCATGCCTAAATTTGTAATTCCCATGAACATAAATAAAAATCATTTTGAAATATCAAAATATTTTATTTTTATAAGAAAGTAAATTTTTAAAAAAATATATATTTTCAAAACTACCTGCCGACAGGAATTTAATAGCTTCATGGGAATGCATAATAAATTAACTCATCATAATGAGCATACTGGATCCTATCTAGACATCCATCATTTTCCTAAATGAAATTTAGCAACCCAATATTTCAGGTTGTGTAGCGCTTGCTAAACATGCTTAACCATCACATCAAAGCATACTAAATTATCAAATCGAAAATGACAATATCATCAAGTCAAAGGGACCATGTAACAATTTGAACTCTCTATCTCTTAGGTGACTCATCCTAGATAATTCAAATACGGTCTAGTGCTACACACATCTAATGCGTGCTTATGACATACACCCGAAGAATCTCCATTCTTGATGGTTGAGACCCACCACCATATCTCATATATCGGTGTCATGCATAATAACCTGTTATAAAAAAGTTATCCTTTACTAGTTATAAGTTAAGCACAAATTTAAGAAATTTCTAAGTTAGATCATATCTCCAAGCAAGTGATCATCCCAGTGCATGATCTAACAAAATAACTTCTAAGGATATATATAACAATTATATAAATAATACCCAAATTATGTGTAACAATTAAATTTATTAACATTACAATATTATTACATAATATGTATTGGATGTTCAAGGGCAAATTATTATTACTATTCCAGCAGTATCCCCATTTGGTTTTTTATTTTTTGTTTTGACAGGGAAAGGCAACCCAAACCGCTCGTATTTTCATTCGAATGTTGACCCTGCCCTCTTGTATTTCTAGTAATCATCAAGTATCCTATGAAACCTGATACGAAAAATAAAAAAATACAAAGTACGAGGATTGAAAGATGAATCACAGTGGAAAATATAACATCAAACTACAAAAGACTTCATGAAACATTTTACTCATCTATTATAAGATCACTATTTTATTTTCACGGTGATGTTCCAAGACACATTACTATGGGGCAAAAAAAATATGTGCCCTATTTTCCCTTTAATAACTTGTGAAATATTGGAGATTTGATGCAGAGGGAGGGTGCTTCATGATATTAAGAGCAATAAATGACAAATATCAATTTGAATCGGTCGTTCAGGTTTAAAGATTTGATTATTCAAGTGGAAAAAACCCATAAGTTATTAAACGGGTCATTCGGATTATATGGGTCGGGTAACCCGTTTAATAAACGGGTCGGATTGTATTGACTCATTTATTAAATGGGTCGGATCGGGTCACACTTATACGGATCGGGTCAACTATGACCCGACCCGACCCATTTGCCACCCCTAGGAATAGTCAGAATTATAAATTAATTTCCTTCCCTTCACCTATTTCTAAAGATGAAATAATCAGGAAGTATAAACTAAGATCTTCTCTAATTAATACTTACTATTTTCCTCACCTTCAGCTTGCTGTAGAATTCCCAGAAGTAAAAATAAAAAATAAAACTAAAAATAAGAAACTTAAATAAAAGCACAACTTCTCACGGTTATCCTCTGCTTTTGTGAGTCAAAGAATTTTACAGGAAACAATTGTCATCTGCATTCCTAAGATGTAAAAAAGTCAATTAGCTTTCTTATCTTCAATGATCTCGTTCGAATCTTTGAAGTTCCATATACTCCTAAAAATGTGCTAATTTATTTAAAAAAATGCTGCACGTAACTATACACTGGAAATTTTGTCGCAAAACGTCCACCATCTACAGAAAACACGCAACTAAAACATGGGATGTCATATTTATTGAAAAAACTATGAATAAACATATAAGTTGAACCAAAGACAGCAGCCACAATTAGCTTTCCTAATCAGGACACACGAAAGAGACTGAAATGTTAGCAAGCGTAGACAAATGACATCAGTGCACAACATTGAAAACAAGGGAGCTTACGGTTAGCAACAATTCAATTAACAGCTAATGCCAGTCATTTAGAAATCTGATTGGCCTATCCAAAAAATTCAAAACGTCATCAGCATAATATAAGATGTCATTAGGGCAACTTAATCATGATAATTTTTCTTAATCAACTGCAGATGCTCACACGTATAGAATACTACTTCTCATGGAATATACCTCTTTTAAAACAACTATCTACACCCTGCACTAATACAATTGAGACTATTTATTATAATAATCAAATAAATAAATAAATTTAGATTATAAACCTTCACATTGTCGAACAATAAGGAACATCTGACAATAAATAAAAACAGAGAATCCCAGATCAGCAAAAATAAAAAATAATAAAAATAATGTACGTGGCCTCTATTCTCAACAGGCATGTTAAGTCAATGTCACAAAAAACTACATCCCTAGTACAGCAATGCCTGAAGAAGGAAAAGCATTGACCTAGACGCCCTAACGCTTTGATTGGAGAAATTTTCTAGTAAGTTAATTTTATGACATTAAGAAGACCATTAGTATCACTTCATAAAATAATTCACACTCGTATGTCACCGTCACCAGTGCATTCAAGTTCATCAATCAGGCCACTAAATCTCAAACTGCCTTTCTCATTCATAAGATTGTACATAATTCTGAACAATATATGCTTCTGAGCCTTGGATACAACAAGCAGTAAATATGAGAAAGCTTCATATTGTACTGAAAGCACAAGGATAACAACAAAATAGATGAGAAGACGAAGACGGGAAGCAAAATTCTCTTCCAAATTCCCCCATTTAGTGAAACATAAGAGCACTCAGTAGCAGCAATTTGTAGTGTGGGTGTTCTGCATGAAGCTCAGAATTACTTTGCAGTACAAATAAATTGTGCATGCATAAAGTACAAAATGACACCATTAGAAACGGAATCAACAATTCTGCAGTACAAATAAATTGTGCATGCATAAAGTACAAAATGACACCATTAGAAATGGAATCAACAGCTTACTCATTGAGGCTCATCTTCTAGTACGTCGCCAGCAAGACTCTGTGCTAATCTGTAATACAATATGCCCATTGTGGCCAGACATGCCCTGAAAATAAAGACAATTCACCCGCATAAGTCTTTTGCTTCTTACCAGAATTTTGCTTCTTACCAGAATTAGAATTATGATCAGTTTTTAATTAAAGTCTTTTACTTTCTACTTTCTGACAAAACATAAGTCTATGGGTGTTTGGTAATCAAAGTGATTTTCTTGTTGTGTTTTTGTAGAAAAACACATGTCATGGCTTTTTTTTCAAAAGTGTTTTAAAAACACCATTTTGAAAGTCATAGGTCAAACTACTTTGACCATTTATATAGCACATGATACCAATCAACTACTAGTCACACCCAACCACTTAACCTTACTCTCGCCCGTTGCCACTTCCCACCACC